TCCCCTCCCCTCCCCTTTCCTCCTCTCCCTTCTCCTCTCCTCCCCTGCCTTCCCCTGCCTTCCCCACCCCTCTTCTTTCCTCCACTCCCCTCCCCTGCCTTCCCCTGCCTTCCCCTCCTCTCCTCTCTCCTCCCCTCCCCTCCCCTCTCCTCCCCTCTCCTCCCTAATTAACATTGAAACCTTGCCCAGATTTATCCTAGTGAGAAGGATGTGTGTCTACCAACTGTGGAAATGTCCACCAGAACACAAATGCTGTCTTTCTATCTGCATTCTTTTTTTAAAGATTTTCTTTGATTATGTATAGGCAGTGGGTGGACAATATGCAGGTGAGTACAGGTACCCTAGGCAGCCAGAGGCTCTGGATCTCACAGGGACTATATTTACAGGCATCTGTGAGCTGCCTTAGATACCAGAAAGGTCCTCTGCAAGAGCAGTACAAGCTCTTCCCTGCTGAAGCCTCCCCCAAATGACCCCTGTTTCATTTCTTCAAGAAGTTCCCTAACAAACAGTCAGATGTGACAGCCACCCTGTTGTCTTCTCACTTTCTTAAGAATTATGTTTGGTAGATGTTAACTGCCAGCATACTGCTAAAGGCAATGCTATGGGATCTGACCTCTGCGACTGACTGCCATTATCTACACTGAACTCTTAATAGTTCAGATGAATTGTAATCCGTAGATTAATTCAGTTTACTGACAGCATTGACAGTGCACTGGCAGTCTTGTCTTATTTCTGTACTCTTGATGCCCTAGTATTTGGGAATTCTTCATCTTGGAACAGCTGTACAGTTGGCTGCCATAAATGACTCCACTGTGAGGCCCCCTATGATATACAAACCAGCTAACCCAGAGCTCTCACACACCAATTCAGTATTCCCCTGCCTCATACTAGGGCCAGGGCCAGCCAACAAAGACACAACCAGAAAGCCCAGAATCTCCTGACACTATACGAGGCTTTTCCCCAGCTCTCTCAGCATGCCCACACAGGAGCCTGCCAACTCCTGCCCACAAAACTGCCACTACATGCTCTGATCCTATGTTGTCCTGGTCCTGTCTGTCCCTCATAGACTTGGGTCCCTCCCCAGGTGGTGTGTGCTCAGCTGTGCCTCCTGTTCTTCAGATCTGTGAGTGTAAACTTCCCCTTTCCTGCCAGTCATTTCCATGTTTTGCAGACTTCCCAAATCAAATCCCAGGTACAAATCCTAGTGTCGTTGCACACATATCTGATTCTTCTACCCTCACAGTCCTGTGGTAAGTGAGGTAGTGTCCACAGACAGAGAGAAGTACTAATAGAAGGCTAATTAAGCCAAACTAGTGGAAACACACGAACTGTGCACCAATAGCTGAGGAGCCCCCATGGTACTTGACTAGGCCCTCTGGATAAGTAAGACAATTGTTTAGCTTGAACTGTTTAGGGGGTCCCCAGGCAGTGAGACCAGGACCTGTCCTTAGTGCATGAGCTAGATTTTTGGAACCTAGTACTTATGCTGAGACACTCTGCTCAGCCTTGGTGCAGGGAGGAGGGGACTGGACTTGCCTCAACTGAATATACCAGGCTCTGCTGACTCCCCATGGGAGACCTTGCCTTGGAGGAGATGGGAATGGGGAGTGGGTTGTGGGGGAGGCTGGGGGGTGGGAGGAGGAAGGACAGGGTAATCCGTGGTTGATATGTAAAATGAATAGAAAATCTCTTAATAAAAAAAGAAGGCTAATTAATAATAAATTAATCATTGGGCTCATTAAAGCCTGAATATCAACTGACTATTTAGATAACAAAGACAGTTTTCCTAACAAAATATGGATTATTCTACTAGTACCTAACAACCAGTGGTTGCCTGGACCCAAATATGAACACCAACTATATGCTTGTGGCCAGAGATTTGTGGGTTCTAGGCAATCACCTAAACAGATATATGTGTTGTATTATACTGTGAGATCAATGTTTAGCTCACAGTAATGACCAATTTGTGGATCAGTACTATGTCGGTACCAGAATTCCTTCCTGACACTTCAAATAACTCATGCAAAATTTGTAGCATCTTCTAACAATCAATTGTATACAGGATATGTCTTTATTACAGTAACATTCTATATGCGCCTCAACTTACATGGGTGGTCAAGTGGACAGGAGCCTAAGACTTTTAGAACTGCATCATACCACTCACTGTTAACCCCTTAAGAATACAGCTTATAATTGTCCCAATGCATGGATTTGTATATTCATTTGTATATTCAAACCTTCAAGCTGGTGTGTAAAATTTTACCAGTGAGTTTCCTATCCAGTCACCCAATATCCACATCTCAAAAGCCTGTATGGTTCTTAGCAGTGACTCTTAAGCTCTTGGTGTGGGGATGGGGTGAAGAGATGGATTTCTCACGAACATTTCTGTTTTTGTTTTTTTAAAATGGCTTTTTTGTTCTTTCATACATCTCAAGAAAATTCAGCCCCTTATTACAATTCTGAATGCTGTTGCTCATGGTCGATTCAGAATTTCTTTGCCATTTATTTAACTTACATGTCTTAAACTGCTAGAAAAATCCTCTGCTGAAAGTGCCTAGGCATTTTTTACAACAGTGAAGAAATAAACAGTACTTTTTACCTTTATATGTGTGTGTAGGGTTTGTGTGTAATGTTGTATTATGACAACTCTACTTAAATGTGAAATAGCATTGAGTAAAAAGATCATTGAAATCATTTCTAACAAGTGAACCAAACAGGAATATTGAGTTCCACCCCAGAGAAAGCAGCTTTCAGAGTCCCTCTTAGCACACCATGCTGTCTTTAAGCAATTATGTATTGATTCCAGTTTATCTAATTGAACAATTAAATGGAATAGTCTGTTTTGACAGGAAAAAAATATTGTAAATATACCAGTAGAATTAATTATCACCTTACAAACACCACCCATGGCTTTGATTGCTCTGAAGCGGCGTTGACAGCTTTGAGTCACAAATGAGACCTGCAGAGAAATGGCAAAGAAATAAAAACTCAGGCCTGTGGCTCCAAGTCTGTAATCTAGTTCCTGTAGGTTAACAGACACTTCAAGACACTTAGAGAATCTATCATTACACATGTATTTTGGATATAGTTGTTCCTTTAATTATACACTAAAAATCACAGTAGATATGTTTCTTCCTTTATTTTCATTTTCCATTGAAATGCTTATATGTGTCTCATAAATGATGCACAGTTTGATGATCTTTTACTCTGAAATGGAAAAGTTACAACACTTACACAAACATGTAGGACTATAGTGCCTTCTCAGTGGGTTACTTTCTATTTGCCCCATAGACATTTTATATTACTTGTTCTGTCTTCTTTAAAATTTTTATTTTTCTCATCCAATTATTTCTGATTTTAAGACTAGAAACTTGATGTTCTTTTTCTTCCTTTTTTTTAAAATTAGTTCTCTGAGAGTTGTGAGTTTTCTGTAACATATTTTGGTGATGTTCACTTCTCTAAACCATCTCAAATCCCCTGCCCCTTCCATATCTACCACCTTTGTGTCCTTTATATAATCCCTTCAAGGCCAGTTGTACTCCCAAAATATTCTTGCTGTGTGGTCTTCCACGGGATCGTGGCTGACTTACCAGTCAGTAGCTCCCCTCTTAGAGAAAACTGATTCTCCCTTTCCTGGTAGCTCACAAGTAACAACGGCTCCACGGCTAAGAGTAGGGTTGTGTGCCCAACTCCTCTTTCTACACTGGGATTTGATCTGGTTTGGGCTTGCACAGGTTTTGTACATGAAAGGTGTAAATTAATTGATGTCTTTACATTGTTATTTAGGTTATTTTTAAGTCCAAATGCCTTCCTTCTGATTTATATATTTATATTTTGTTAAGGCTCATCTTAATTATAATTTTAAAAATTCCTTAATGTAATAAAATTTATAAAAACCATGTATATTGTTTTATGTAGTTCTTTTTCCTCCAGTTTTATTTATATGTGTCATTTATA